AAGATCGACAGGGAGTTTCTGATTGTCAGACCTAATGGTGATAGTGATTTGTTATGAAGAACTTCTCTATGCCCGTTCCATTTGCTTGATTGCTGATTTTTGATAAACATAAAAAATAATATCTATTCTTGTGGACTCGGAGCCTGTAGCAAGAATGCTGTTGGAAAGACTCTCAGCCAATTCCCCGAATGTGTGAAGGCCCATCTTTTTCATCGGTAGTTTACACACAAGTGCCATGAAGTCCACTATTGTCATTTGAGCGTCACTCTTTACATTCCTCATCTCCTGTGGAAGTTGACTGACAAGTTCCCTGGCTAAGGAGGCTTTATCGGGCTTCTTCAATTTGATGCCATCTTTACATTCAGTGGTGAGGAACTGGGATGTGCTGGTCAATTCATACTTCAGGAGTTCTAGCATGCTGTACCCTCTTTCTCTAGCATAGTCAATGTACCTAATCGTTTCTGCAGCATCCTTTTTCGCCATCGATTTCTTCGCTGTGGACGGAGTAGAAGTAAATTTCACAAAAACAGTCTTGCGGTTGGTAGGGATTGTATCATGTAGGTGCTTCTCCTTATCCTGAAATCTGGTCTTAACAAACTCTTGATAACTCTTCTCACCAATTTCCAGGCATTCAAGTAATCCGTCAACAACCTCCTGGGGTATGTCAGCTCCAGTAGAGATGTTCTGAAGTCTGATTCCAGCGCCGAACGGATTGTTGATGGATTTTATGTAATCCAGAAGCATATTTGCACGAACATGGCCAATCTTCGTAGAACTTGGATTGAACTCATGGTGTAGGCTCACTTCACTGTCATCTTTGTTTCCCAAGTTACACCCTTCCAGCAGCTGTGCCACATGAAGATCTTTCTCATGCTTTAGGAAATTCCATAATGCTACTGCTTCTTTCTGTCTAGTCATCACAATGATACCTCCAGCAACCTTGGCGGGTTTATTATGTAACACTTCTCGAGTGCCATGTCAAATCCTACTGCACTGCCTTGTCGGAGAGTGTGGTACATCACCCATCCACCATCTGTAAAGCATCTGTAGATACCCGGGAACTTCCTTTGTATGTCTAGGCAATCTTCAAGGAACAGCGTACCCCATCTGCTATAGTTTGTCCGGCCAAACCCGAAGGACAAAGGCATGCACCTCAGCACAGCTGAAACGAAAAGATGCCAATCGCCTTGCCGAATAGAGTGTGTAAGATCTCTCAGGATAGGATACAGCTCATCCAGAAACAAGCTCCAGTACCTCACATTCTCATTACAGGCCGTTTCTTTCCATTCTGTGAACGACTTCTTCAAGTCTGCATTTAAGTTCTCGNACACACACACACACACACACACACACACACACACACACACACACACACACACACACACACAGCACAACACGCACACATCTCTCTCTCATACACGCACGCACGCACCTCTATCTCTCTCTCTCTCTCTCTCTCTCTCTGAGAACCCTTTTTTTGTAACTATACAGAGATGCCAACACTTTTCTGAGCAAACTGTATAGTGAGGATGTCTGAAATCTGTAGTCGGGTTTCTGTTTTTTGCCCGTCGCGTGTAGGTGTGAAGGTGTGGCTTTTACATGCACTCAGCGACTGTACCGAACAGTATATAATCTAGCATTCGTATCCCCTTCACGGGGAAAATAGTCACATGGAATTTGGTCACAAATAGTAAAACTCGGTTGTAATACTCGGTGTAACCTCAAATATAAAAGCAGAGAGAACAGGTGGGAGAGAAAGAGATGCAATACAGGGGAAATTTACAGTGACAAAGACAGAGAGAGAGAGAGAGAGAGAGAGAGAGAGAGAGAGAGAGAGAGAGAGAGAGAGAGAGAGAGAGAGAGAGAGAGAGAGAGAGAGCTAGAGACAGACACACGCACACGCACGCGCACATACACATATATACTAATCACGTACATATATAATATATCACGTCATATATATTTAGATATTAGTATCAAGAGCGTATAAAGAAGGCCTTCTTTATACGCTCTTGATAGTATCAGGAGTTATAAAGACAAATATTTGTCTTTATTAACTCCTGATAGTATGTATAGGCCCGCTGTAAACACTCGCACGTGCACGACTCACTCGACGCTCACACTCGATCTCACACTCCAAAGACGGATGTGAACATTATATACGTACGTCTTTGCGCTCACCAAATTAAATAAATCGTGTGCTCGCACGTACGGTAGTTGAGACAATACTAGAGCGGACTAATCACATTGTTTTCAAAGGCTAAGTAATCTTTTATGATACCAAAGTAATATATATGAGTATATGTGTTCGTGTTCGTGTGCGTGTGCGTGCGTGTGCGTGCGTGCGTGCGTGCGTGTGTGTGTGTGTGTGTGTGAGCAGGGTGTGTGTGTGTGTGTGCGTGCGTGCGTTTGTGTGAGCAAAGTGTGTGTGTGTGTGTGCGCGTGCATTTGTGTGAGCAGGGTGTGTGTGTGTGCGCGCGTGCGTTGTTGACAGGGTGTGGGTGGTGTGCGCGCTCTCACTATCTCTGTGTCTAGCTCGGCGATATCTCTCTCTCACTCGCGTTTCTCTCTTTCTCTCTCAGTCTCACTCGTTCTCTCGTCTCACTCTCTCTCTCTCCATATCTCCAATCCCCCCCCCCATTTTCCCTATCGTTCTGTTCTTCGCTCTCTTGCTCACTTTCTCACTTGCCCCCCCACGCTCTCTCTTCTCTCTCTTTCGTGGCGCGCTTCTCTCTCTCTCTATTAATGTTCCTCTCGCTCTCGCTCTATATATACGCTCCTTTCCTTTTCTACGCTCCTTCCCCTTCTCCAAATCTCCTCTCTCCCATCCATCCTCAACCACCTTTCCCCGCTCATACTTCTCCTGTTCTCTCTCCCTCACGTGCTCTCTCTCTCTCTCTCTCTCTCTCTTCTTCTCTCTCTCTCTGTCTCGGTGTCTCTCTCTCGCTCTCTCTCTCTCTCTCTCTCTCTCTCTCTCTCTCTCTCTCTCTCCTCTCTCTTCTTCTCCTCTCTGCTGTCTCTAGGCACTGCTCTCTCTGCTTCTTCTCGGCGCGCTCTCTCTCAGCCACATATGTATATATTTTTTAAAGTTTTGTTTGTCACTGTAGTACCATTGCAAGCTAACCACCATACGCAACGTTGGCCCAAGCGTCATGGTAGCGTAACACATTGCCGACCGTGGGCGCATGCAACCATACGCCACGTTGCGCGCAACGTTATGCACCAACCATTTGCAACTAGCCTCACTGCAACCATACACCAACGTTGGCCCAACGTCATGTAGCCAACCATTTGCCAACTGTGACCATGCCAACCATACGCCAACGTTGGCCCAACGTCATATAGCTAACCATTTGCCAACTGTGACCATGCCAACCATATGCCAACGTTGGCCCAACGTTATGCAGCCAACCATTTGCAAGTAGCATCATGCCAACCATATACCAACGTTGGCCCAACGTCATGCAGCCAACCACTTGCCAACCGTGACCATGCCGACCATACGTCAACGTTGGTCCAACGTCATGCAGCCAACCATTTGCCAACCGTGACCATGCCAACCATTCGCAACGTTGGCCCAACGTCATGCAGCCAACCATTTGCCAACCGTGACCATGCCAACCATACGCCAACGTTGGCCCAACGTCATGCAGCCAACCACTGCCAACTAGCATCATGCCAACCATACGCCAACGTTGGCCCAACGTCATGCAGCCAACCACTTGCCAACTAGCATTATGCCAACCATACGCCACGTTGGCCAACGTTATGTAGCCAACCACTGGCCAACTAGCATTGTGCCAACCATACGCCAACGTTGGCCCAACGTCATGCAGCCAACCATTTCCAACTAGCCATCATGGCCAACCATGACGCCACCGGTTGCCCAACGGCATGCGGCCAACCACCTTGCCACCGTGACCATGCCAACCATATGCCAACGTTGGCCCAACGTCATATATGCCAACACATGATGCAACCATGATTCGCCGTGCCAACGTTGCCCAACGTTGGCCCACGTCATATTGCCAACCGTGACCGTGCAACCAAATGCGCAACGTTGGCCAACGTAAGCATGAGCATCTGGGCAGTGCGGCGCACACGTAGGCGATTGTTAGCGACTGGCAACAAATATCAACATGTTTGATATTCCAGCGACGAGTTTCTGGCGTCAAAATCGGTGACGCCGGGCAGCGCAGCACGGTGGCGATTTCTCGGCGATTTTGTTGGCTGGCACAGAATCGCGGTTTCGGTCGACAAAAATCGCCACGTGTGCGCGGCTTTAGTTACTAATTTACTATGTCACACTAGCGTTTTTATACAGCAGGCATAAGCATATTTTGCAAGGCGCAAGGGTGGCCGATGTTGATCATAATTGTGACATGTGTATACTTTGTATCATGATTGTATCAAGGCGAGCCAGAAATCGTCTATACAATACGTCTGCAGTGTACTGCAGTGTGTGTACAGTATATAACCACTCCTGATATAACACCTGTGTTGTATATATCTATGGTAAAATGAAATGCTCGCGAATGCACTCAGCCCACTAATGATTAGACGCGGGAGCGAGATTTTTATATAATAATTACATTACATATTAATAATTTTCAAATGCTATTATTGCATATTTCAAGATTTTTGGATTTCCAAAAAAAATCGCGGGATACCTAGTAGCATCTTTTGGGGGATACCAGATTCATACCTGTATCCCGAATGGATACCATAATAAAAATCTAATTTCGACCCCTGCTCAGACAGCTGAAATGTTCTCAAAGTTCTGAAGTAATTTCTGAAACATTTCCTGAAAAACATGTCGGATCAACAATAAACCAGACTATAGACCCCCATTCCCACAGTCTGACATGTAAATATCTAGTAAAGTCTATTGTTTGATTCTGTTTCTAGCATAAAAATGTCAGTCAGCAGTTTACCATTCAATATTTATTAATACAAACTGTATAAACTGAACAATGAAAATACATTTTGCACAAATACAGTCTTTATTTCCTGTTCCCGAAGGGGCGATACACTATTGCCTTTCGGCCTTCTTCACAGCAATCTGCACAAAGAGGTAGTACAGTTTTAAACTTTTTTTTCATTTCAGCATTCACCTCTGCCTCCTCGGCTGCACAGAAAGCACATATGTCAAGTCTTCCTATGGCACTTGTATAGTAAGGATTTTCGACTGGGCAACCACAGGAAATGCCAGTTCTGCACATCACAGTCTTCGAGATGGAGCAGGTTGGGGGTAACAGGGGGGCACCACATGTGTAATCATACTCACTCATCACCAAAGTCAATGTCAGCTTGTGCCTCTGAGACAGCCGTTGCTTTGAGTAGATCACACGTGGCTTCCTGCATTCAGTACAATACACAGTTGCTCTAGCATTTTGTGCAGTGTACAGAGATGTGTCATGCAGATCACTGGTACTTGGAATGTTTTCCGGGGTCTGCAATGAAACTCTGCACACTGGTGTCTCCGCATCTTGGCTTGGATCGCTGGTGTCCATTTGTTGCGAGTCACCAGTTTCCGCCTGGTTTTCCAATGCCTGGGAGGTTCTCTTTCTCTGGGGCTTTTCCTTTACAGGTTTTAAGGATGGTCTATCAGCCTCTGTGGTGTCATTATTTCTGGACATCACCTCTTTGTACTTCAAGTAGTGCTCACCACTTTCGTCCAGGACAGGATCTGGCAGCCATGACAGGTTCGAGGCACGCGGTGGAATGCAACAGTTTGGGTCACCACATTTTTTTATCTGGAAGGTGTAATGTCTTTCCCTACAATGCTGCTCTACCCAGGCTGTGTACGACTTTACTTTTGATGTGTGTACCTTCTGCAGCTTTGACAAATTCATGTCAGGGAACAGCTCTCTCAAATGTCGCTTTACAATGTCAATTTCTTCATCAGAAACCGGGTCCATCACTTGTATTGGCTGGCTCTTCAATGACAGACGGGCAAATCTATTTCTCACAATGGACTGCGCAGGTTCAACAGACATTCTCCATGCCATTTTGATTTCTGGATTTTTCTCTGCATGAGCCCGGAGCTGTGACATCGAGCCACATTTCCGGAAAGAGGCTTCTGCCTGTTCATCACCCATTTCTCTTGAGAGAGAGCAATTTTGTAGTCCCAAGTTGAGAATGGACATTATACGCTCTGCTGGATTTGTCCAGCTATGCCATGGTGCACAACGTGCATGGACTAGCATATCCAAGTCAAGTTCCTTGAACACACAAATGTTCGCACACTTGACGGATGCCAAATTGTTGCGATGGTCTGTTCCCCCATCTGTGAATTTCATAATGATTTTCTTGTCATCCTTGGCAGCCAATTTCACCAAGGTGGCGGCATGGCGGAATGGGTTGGAACCTTTAAAGACAGCATCACTTACCACAGTTGTCACGGTGCCTCGAACAAATGACTTCTGTGAACTTTCTGGGATCTCAGTTGCAAGTATCACTGAGGGGACCAAGGAAGCCATGGTCATATCATGGTCACAGGCACCCAGAGTTGTGGTGACGGGAGCAAGTGTTTTCTTTCCTCGGACTCCCGTTGACACTGGGCAGTCTGGCTCTCCCAGTGGAATTTTTGCTTTGTCATCACAGCAAAAGACTGATGCTTCATCCCTCAGTTCAACTGCCTTCTCTTTGAAATACTGCAACTGAGCTGCACAGTAATGGTCATCTGGATGGCCTACACGAAGTTGACGCCTCTGTATCTTATACTGAACTTGAATTCGAGACGTGAAATTGAGTGCCGTATGTACATAGGGATTACGTGGAGCAAACTGCAATCTCACCAGGCTAGCTGATGGGATTTTAGTACCCGGCGGACATACTTCAGCTGCTTTGGCTATCATTTCCTTCAGTGACAGCCACTCAGACAAATGAGCAACATTGTGTCGCCTCTCATCAGCAGCAACAACAGACTCGACGACCTCTTGTAGTTTGTCAAAGAACTGATCAAACACATGTGGTCGACCAGTGTTCATGCGACGCAAGTCATCAACAATGCCTGTTTGCCCCAAGGAAATAAGACGGAGTCTCTCTGTCATCACCGCGTTGGCTGGAGCTGAGGCATCCTGAGTCAGTGCTCTGTAGATACAGTCTCTCACTGCTGGAGAAACCTTGGTGATATGTCCAATTTTCTTCTTGAATGTTTCCTTTTGCATTCTTGTGTGAAATTCGTGCAGACTTGGTCTGATTTTCTGAAGTAGCCTTGCTCCTTGTGTCAAGACCTCGGGTTCAGATCGGTCAGCTTTGACTTGCACAACACATACGGTGGTAGTGCAAGACCCACCAGGGCAAAACCGCAAAATGTCAACTGGCACAGTGAGTTGTAATTCCTCAAAATATCGAAATCTTTGTGTGGCACTTTCAAATGGCACTTCCAAGTGCGTTGACTCATCAAAAAACACTGGCATGTGGTCAGCAGTCTTTACTGCAGAGTCCAAAAGGGAGTATTTGGTTTTGATGGTAATTCCAGCTCTGCGGTGGTCCAGTGTTGTATCTTCTGCGATTGTTCGAACAGGATGATCCAGAGCTAGGTTTGCACACTGAGTCTCCAGCTGTACTTCGAGGTATTTACTATAGGCAATTAGACAGTCAGCCAGGTTTTGAATGTCTGTTCCGGCTGTCTTCCATGCTGGAGTGCTGTTGATGATAGGCTTGAGAAGTAAACTGTACAGTGCCTCGCCATTGCTCTTCAGAGCTGGACTTTTCATCTGACTTTTCTCCTTCTTTCTCTTGACATCATTGAACCCGGTGTACTCTGCAAAGGCTGCTGGAACTGGCTGAACGCCCTTCCTCGTTCGAGCTGCATCATTTATGACTTGATGTTGGTTTGTTATATACCACAAGGCATCAGAGATGATCTGAAACATATCAAATGACAAGATTTAAAACTTTTATTTTCTGACAAAAACATCTGACAGTAAAACTGATGGAATATGCTCCCCAAAAGTAGCATTGGACACACAGCCTTTAATACCATCCTACATATATCCATATTTAAAAGTTTCATCAGGGTATCTTCAATGAGTCAGAAGTTACGGCCCAGACAAACATACTTCGGATAGACGGACAAAGCGGCGACTATATGATCCCCCGATTTTTATTTGTATATGCTAGTCCATGCACGTTGTACATAAGGGCATAGCCCCGGTACTGGGTGAGACAAAGCAATATAATATTAAAGCAACAAAATACCACCACATTGAACACAAAACTAGACAGGGTGAAAGCGGTAGTAAATACATGTATTTATATTTATGCGTGACTACAAAGCACACTAAATCTGACATACATCAAGTGAAAATTCTAAAATTATATGGTGCATACATATACCACTCTAAATCTGAAACTGAAATACGGGAAAAAATTAAATATATATTTACAGTATTCACATGTGTAGTAGTCAGAGTCATGACATATTGCAAAATTGACTCTACAACTTTGCATATTATTAACAGTGTGTACTACAGGACTTGATGTTAACTTTTATGTCAGAAGCAAAGTTTCGATATATTCAATATTTAATATAAAATATACCATATATTATAGTCTACCGGTACTGCAATTTGGTAAATATCTGCATATCAAACATCAATATAAATATGAATATTTATTTCATACACTACAGAGCTATTAAATTGTTTTCGAAGGTTAAAAATGGCCACCTTTTAATAAAAGTTAATTTCAAGTCCTGTATTATATAGGTGCACTATTCTCAATTTTATAGATAGTTTTGTACCTGAACAAAATATGCTCCCTCAGTTGTGGACACAGCACGGGGGAAATCTAGGCCTCTTTTCTTGAAATAGTCATCAATTAAGATATTGTACATCTCTGCTTTCCTCGAGATTCCCTTTGAAATTGTCACTCCAGAACTGAAAATGGAAAAAAATAACATCCAAAACTGAATATTGTACCCAAAAAAATCAAATATAATTAAAATTAATATACTATTTAATTTAATAAAAATAAATTTGCATCAAATGCATATTATAAAAATCATTGCATTCTATTAAAATGTGAAAATATTGCGTATTAAATCAAAGTAAACACTCTTTTACAAAACATCAGACTTCAATTTAAAAACTAGCCTCGTCTACATGACGAAATTTAACTCGAGTTAAGCTAACTCGAGTTAAGCTAACTCGAGTTAGCGATTATGTAGCATCTACATGACACAGTGTAAATGTTACCTATTTACTTTGTCTCAGTTCTGTGTGCATACGTCGGGGAGATCCCCGACTGTAATATAGGTCCACGTGATCTGAGTAATAGTTAAAGTCATTGTTAATCTTCTTAGCGTTGTGTTATTAACTGGCTTCTGCCTAGTTTCGTGTTTCGCTGGTGACAGCTTGAAAGGAGATGTCAGGTAATGCCCGTGTGGAGTGATCAATGATCAACACACAAGTAATCATTCGGTAAGATGCATCGAATTGAGTTTCCACGCACAGTAATCTATTGTTGCTCACCGGACCGCACCCTCCAGCGCCGTGCGAGCAAGAGTCCGGAAAGCGTAAGTCTAATACTATTGAATTCGTAACTGTGCGCGCATTAGCAAACTACTGAAAAGAGCTCCCAAGTGTGGTCATATCACTATATCACCCAGCTCAGCGTGACGTTCACTGTCTTATTTGCCTAGCATGTGCAAGACGCACCATCAGGTCTGCAACCGTGCATGTGAGGCTGCGTCACCCAAGCGTGTTCGGGTTAACCGTGTAATGCATTGAAATGGACTTTTTACCAAATCACGTTCTACTCACGTGTAGATTTCACATGCGCACTTCCTGTATTCTAAGAGGCTGCCACCCCGCGAGTGTTCTTCCCAAACAAACATCCGAAGCGGCTATCCAGAGGTGTTGGCATCATAATAGGCCTTGTCAATTTAGTTTTCTGTAACTTCTGTAAATATCGTTACACTACTCTCGATATTAACGACGCCTGTTAACCCTAATTAACACTGGCCTCTGGTTTTACACTACTACCGCCACCGACAAACTTACTTTCGTGCCTTGACGGCAACAAGTGTAAGTTCTAAAACACAGCAAACATATAAACATACAAACATTTAACCATGACAAGCGATGTCAACGAACATTTACCACAAAGTTAAACAATTACGAACATCAAAAACATTGGAATCTCACTAGTGGACAATGTGTTAAAGTAGTAAGTTAGCAAACGCCTAATCCTATTACCTAATAATAACACTCACCACCACACACACATAGCAACTAGTCTGTGTATAATACCAATGACACAGCCTTCAAATAAGATTGAACATAATCACTTCACAAATACAATAATAAAAATAAACCAAATAGGCAATCAACCGAAACTCAGTGGTATTACGGCCGAGGAATGCGCTCCTGCACAACCCTAACACGTCCGATTAGTCCGCCTTCTAACCGAACATGCGAGGAGATAGACCAGTAGGAAGTAATTCCCCTCGGCCGGCCTACACGGCTAACAAGTGAAATACACAAACAAAACAACAAACAACGTAAACCGCAACTAATGAGCCTGCACTATCAGATATAACTCCTACAAAATACAATCTTACGAAATGATCAAGTACAAATTACAACACAAAATCAAATATGTTACTAGCAAATCCATAACAATAACAATACAATCAAATCAATATCAGTACTAAATCAGTACAAATCGATGTGCCGACACAATGTGCGTGGTGCCCACGCAGTAAATTAAAACCCATGCCCGTTGTCTCTAAACTCCCAAAAATGAATGGAACTCGGGCTAAGTGAATGAACGTGAATGCGCTGAACAGCCGGAAGTCAAAGTGACAACCTGCTGAGATAAAATTCGGATGTCTGTAGTAACAGGGGGTAAATAATTACCCAATTGTGACATGCAACGGTCAAGGTAAAGGGTTTGATTGGAGAAATCAACCAGTCACCTGGTAAGATACGCCACATGGTGCTGCTGCTGCCGAGCAATATTAATTCGTCGGGGACAACGCTGCGGGATCGGCTCCTTGTGATGAAAGAAAAGGGGAACTATACAGTCAAAAGAATTAGCGACATAATATATTTCGGAAGCGGACTGACAAATATCGTGATTGTTAGCAATGCATTGCTTGATGCGTTCGACCTGACGGAAAAAATAACGTGCTGAGCTCTATTCCGCGCAAATGCCACGCAACGTGGATCATAATAGACATAAGCTGTAGAATTTGGAATGAAAAGCGGTGTAGGTATGATCTGATATACATCGAAAATCTGGCCAACATGTTTTAATGGTAAAAACGTTAGCACGTGAAAAGACGTGGCAGTGGGCACTACCACTGCATGTCTCGAGCAAATCATAATAATAGAGAATATCCTCCTCAATAGCTCGTGGCAAAGCCAGGTAATCGGACAGAGTATCTTTAACGGCACGTAACAATGTGCGTAACTGTACCGGCGATATAAGGGATATCGGTAACTTTCCCGTCAAGAGATCGCTTAACGCCTGGTCTAAATCTGCAATGACACTCGTAATATCATTAAGCGCCATCAGTAAAGCATCAGTCGCAGACTGAAGCTATGCAAGTAGGGCCAATGTATCATCGGTGGACTCTGCGAAGCGGTCAAGCCGATGACTAACTTTAATTAAAAATCTCCGCAATTTATCCGTACCCCCGATAAGATCATTAATAGTCGCTCTGTTAAGCTGCACCTGAGTGTGGGTAAGATTAAATACTGTCAGGCTGTCTCCCAACGCATGCTGAAAAGCATCCTGTGATAAGCGAAACTGCGAAAGCCGTGCATCCAATCGCGCAATGTCTGCTTCATCTGCAGTTCCATAGAGACACTTCTGAAGCTTACCCATAAATGGTAGAAGGGAACGCTTAGGGCGTTGCTTTGTAAACAGGCTTGTAATCCCTTTTAATCTGCTAAC